GGGGGGGGTGATTATGATTTGAAAGACCATCATCAGTTTAACAGTCTGTAATTTACATAAATGAAAAGCTTTATTTCAAAGCTGAACACCCCACGGGAACTGACACACATTAATGAATTGGACATATGAAAGGCACAGAAACTTTTTTTTTCTTTAATTTTGAAATCATTTCATCTCATGATTAGGTTGGAACGCTTGGATAAATTGTTTTCACCGCGTCGTCTACCTCGCTTAGATTTGTCGTCGGAAATCAAAAAACAATCAAGTGGAATCGACTTTTTTTTTTTTTTCCCCGCTGAGAATACTCCGCGTCGGCGTGGGGCTTCAAAGTTAAATGAGCTCGGATTAAATGCGTCATGAATTCCTCCCAAAGAGAGCTGACTTGAATCAGCAGGAAAAAAAAAAAAAAAAAAAAAACATCATCAATTTAAAGTGATTATTTTAAACATAACGGATTAATTGTGTGTGGGTATATTTTTGTTTCAATTGTTGAGTCATGGCTTATTGAGGAAAGTTGATGGCAAGGAGCGCATTTTCTGCACTATGAGGCGCACTTTAAAGCATTCCATTTTCTCAAAAGGCGACAGTGCACCTTATAATTCGATGCACCGTATATCCCCATGAACATTTTTGGCCATTCCAAAGAAACAAACATAACAGGAGTGTCAAGTGTAAGGTTATCGAAGCCATTTTTAAGTCAATGATGATTTTCAATATGTATTCGTCTCAGGAAGGGGTGACCTCTACGTGCCAACTGAGCAACAGTGTCATCGCAATTAAAGGACTCAGTCATTATCACTTAATGAATATATTCTAATTCTATGCAGGGTTCATTCCATTTGCATACATGTCAAATTTGGAACATGAATAAGTAACGCAAATGTGGAGATGAATGACTTGCGAGTAATGAGACCAGGTAGCTATTCATAGTTTAAACCCTATAGAGCAAATGTTCATGCCGGTCGAAAGCAGAAGTGATACGACTGACCGGCGACAAATTATGGATGTGCATAATAATAATAATTGATGAATAGATCAATAACAGTTTGTTTGATTGTTTGGAATTGTTGTTGTCCAATGAACGGCATGCCGGTCGAAAGCAGAAGTGATACGACTGACCGGGGACAAATTATGGATGTGCATAATAATAATAATAATAATAATAATAATAATAATTGATGAATTGATCAATAACAGTTTGTTTGATTATTTGGAATTGTTGATGTCCAATGGACGGTGTCTGCTGAGACAAATGAGAATACCCGACTTGGATGTAAGCAGCGGAGGTGCTATTGATTTCCTCTCAATTAGTTTGTGGCCAGAAGAACAAAACAATTGTGAAATGGTGCGTTTTGAAGGCTTACTGCGGCAAATTAAAAACAATTTAAAAGGGAGAGAGAGCCGCCACTGTCGAACGGACGCTAATGCAGCCCAGACTGGTCAGCAAGCAGCCGTATGAGCGTGACAGTTTGAAGGCCAAACAAATATCCAGAAAAAGAATTCAATTCGTCAATTCGTGTTGCGGCAAGAGATGGATGATCACCGGTGGTGGTTCCACATTTCAGGAGCTCGGAGGATTGTGAAGGAATCTGCAGGGAGGCACCGGTGGACATAATTCTCACAGCGACGCGCCGAGCGTGAGAGCATGCAAACCACAATGGTGGCTGGATGACAAACATCCAGCCCCATTGCGGGTTCTGACGTATGAATGGCGGCGTTCCCGCGCTGGAGATCGGCCCTGTGGTGCCAGTTGTCGGCCTGGCGAGATGCTTTCACATCGTCATCGTCAGCAGCTGCCGCCTGGCTTACATGTAGAAGGCATGTTACAAGGCCTCCCCGCAGAGGTGCTGCGGCGGTGTTGGGCGCACACCTTGGAACCGCTGTCAGGCTCTTCAGCTTTGCTCCAATTCTCTCGTCCACTTATCAGCTGTTTAGGGAATTCCAAGAGAAGAGGCAAGTATCTCTCTCTCGCTCTCTCTATACAATTTTGATTCAAACTGTTTCCGCTGGATGTGTGTAAACTCATCAAACGACGGAATCTTCTTGAAACAAGCTGGATGACGGGGAGGCGCTCGCTATCTCGGATAACACTTGACGAGCCAACTGTTTCGAGCAGTCGAGGTACCCGTGACAGTCTTTAAGTGCTCATTCGAAATGAATATTTCACCACTTTCAACTTGTGTGGTGACGCCGTCGTCGGGAGAACACCGTTTCATATTTCAGGTTATTTGCTGTCATCCGAGGCGCTGGCGCACCCGCGTCGCTGCAAGCGCAGGGAGGTGGTGGATGATGTGTGCACTGACCTTTCGACAACACTCCCAGAGCTGCATTTGCTTTTATAGACGGCGACGTGGTGGAACTACACGAGTGAGGTAGGCATGTGCAACCCTCAGCGCTAAGTCGACGTGATGGAGCCGAACAACGCAGTCATAACTTGGTATCCATAATGGATGGCGTCCTTTTAGAGCGTGCGCGCTCGGAGTAGCGGCGATCAAAATAAAAAGTGGAGATTTTTCCTCCCCCCCCCAAAAAAGTTGACCGTCTCATCACAGCGTACCTTGGGTTTTCGGAGCATGAGAAGTTGAGCGTGTTGTGTCAGGGTTGTATTTCTACCCACCTCTCCCTGGGCATCTGGTGGTTGGGATTGTGGTGACAGCGGATGCTCAGGCCAAAGAGCTTGCGGGCAGTGCGCTGGATCTTGAGCCGCTGGACCTCGAGGGAGCTCTGGAGCAGCCTGTAGCGAGCCTGCAGGTCCCAGTCGCTGCCCCACAGCAAGTGCACGCTGTTGATGGGCAGGAAGTGGGTGGAGGGCAACCTCTTCAGGAAGGACTTGAATTCATCTGACAAAGCAAGCACAGAGCGGCAGGGGGGGAAAAAAAAACGTTAGTTTGTCGCGGTGGACTAAGCGGGGAAACACACGTTTGACGGTGTGATCGATTTTGTGAGTCAAATTCCCCACAAGAAATCAACCACAACACAACGGTACCCTGACTTAGGAGTGTCGGCCATTTTTGCTCAAAGAGACATTATGCATTTGCTTTCGAAATTTAAAATAGGTCCCGGGTGACTTCGTAAAACGCCCGTGAGAAGACTTTAGTTCAAATAAACCGCAAGCCCACTTTTCACCTTCCATTTTTAAGCCTCACCGAAGGTGCATCCGTGCATGTGGCTCATGCAGCGGACACGTCACGGGTGGAGTGAGGAGGGGTACACACAGAAAGACAATCGGCTATTTTTTTTTTTTTGTCCCACGTCCAAGCTACATAGTTTCACATGTAACGTTAAATAAAAAAGCCAACGTTGACCTTCAGTAAACTATGATAATCTCGCAAGCTGAAGGGATCCAAAGGCCAATTTATAAAATGGCGATACGCTCCGCACTCGACTCCCCTTCCAAGACAGTCGTCTTGAAGTATTGCTTTTTTTTTCTTTCCCCCCCAGCCTCGGCGGAGACATTTCTCTGAGTTTTCGGCCGGTCCTCCCGAGATTTGTCAGATGTGCTTTGCTCGTTTGCTTCAGACAGCAGAGTCCTTCTCCTCCTCCTCCACTGTTGCTCCTCCACCCACCGTTCACAGATGTCACACGCCACCCTCAACCTTTTGCTCGAAGAGCCGCCGTGGGGATGTCGGCTCACGATTATTAAGAGTCGTCTGAATCCAATGCCCTAAAAAGACCATTAGCGTGTCAACTCTCTCCCGCCGGGTCGGCAGCTGCCGCGCCGTGTCTGCGAGGGAAACAAATGGATCTGCGCCTTCATCCAAATTCCTGGAAAAGTACGAAAATGTCATGACGGTTGATCAAAACCGAAAACACTCACGTCCAAAAATGATGGCGCGCTTTCCCTGAAGTGCTTCATTTGTGTGCGGGGAAAAAAGTGGATATTGACGAGAACAGATGTGCTCGGATAATAATGACTTGGTGATGCCGCGTGTTATTCATTGCACATGGTTATTTGCATGCTTGAGTACCTGTAAACAATCGTATTTTTTGTGCTAGAGAGGCGGGTCGTGTTTCGTCTAAGTTTGACAACAGCTGCCATGCTCGTCAGAGGCATTCGCCGTATTTGCTCTTTGCAGTTTCTCCTCTTTACAACTCTGCATCCTGTCTCTTTTGCTAGTAATGACCGACCTCATTCTCCATGAAAGTAGCTAACAACCATACGCAAAGCAAAATAACGTCACGATAGCACTTCACGCTCATCGCACATATCAACTCTTAAATAAACGCCACCGAGCATTCATTTAATCCTGATGTCATATCAAAGCAAGTCACCTTTGGTAGCACACGATCTGCCTCACAGGAAGTTGCCAAATATCTTTTATTATTATTTTTCACCGATGGCACTGGCAAAGAATGGGAATCTGGTGCACCAGGAGAAGCATTTTAAAACGGTCCACGTACGTACGTACGATAGTTGTGTCCCCTGCCTCCGCGTCAGATCTTCTACTAAGGTAGGCAGTGGTTTCCTTTTCACAAACTCACAAAGTCTTGGATCTATTTTTCTGTTTCCTCGATGTCAGGGTCTGTTGCGGCTGTTGCTCAACAGCACAAATTCAAATATTAGCTCATGTAAGCACAACAGAAACTGTAATCCAACCGATTTTGAAAATCAGCCAAATCAATTGCCAAACTAAGTCAATTGAAATGATGATTTGGGTCCAGTAGATGTGAACTGCAAAACAAAACTTGACTACTCACCGGAGTTCTCAAAATCTTTGTAGGAGGATAGCCATGACTCGGCCATGCCCAGCATGGTGTTCTCCATGATTTGGATGTCGGTGATGGGACAGTTGCACTGGGGGTACTCCTCCGAACACTGGCAAATGCACTGGTTGTTGCGACACAGGTACTCCCCTTCGCCGTTACACATGATGTAGCTCAGAGCCGACTGGACGAACTTCTCCTGCAAATACTCGGGGAAAATGACCTGAAGACCTGAAAAACACCAACGTACGTCCATTAAAGCTTGAGGTCGACATTAAAAAAAGTGTCTTCGGTGTTCCAGGTGGCAAAGTATGGGATTGGAGCTTTCATGTACAGTATCAAGAGTTCACAAATGAATTTGACAGACTGTTTTCTTTTTTTTTCCTGAAAAATGTCAAGGAGAACTTTAAAATAATTCAGTGATTGACCTATAAAGGGTTTTGCATGTGGGGAAACAAATGGCAGAGCGTCCTTTCAGTGTTGCTTTGTGTTCGGGGTACTCCGTTATTTGTCTAAAGGATGTGCTTCAAAGCCTTCCAGTGTTCGACATGAGCTGTCACTTTTGTGCCGACTTGCTCTCAGCATGACAGCCTTCACTTGTGATTGATGTCTCCCGTCGAGTGTACTGGCGGCTTATTTAGCACACAATCGTTGCGACCTTGTATGAGTTTTTTGGGCCTTTATTTGTGCGAGTGTGTGTGTGTGCGCTTCACACAATTATCCAACCAAAGAGTCGCCATTTGTTTTTTTTCACAGTGCAATCCAAGTCAATACAAGAAGCAATAAACACCAGCTTTTTCTCTCTTCAGGATTTTACATCAAAATAATTCGGATTTCTCATGAATTATGACTTTTGCAAATCTGCACAAACGTCGGTGAGACTGAAAAGCCATGACATATGGAGTCCCTCAAGGGTCAATCCTGGGACCATTTTCTTCAGCCTGTGTATGCTACCGTTGTGTCAAATGTGTATATGTGTGTGCGTGTGTGTGTATTTTTTTTTTCATATTGCTTTATGCTCATTGGCTTTATTGTGATTGGTGACAAAATATCCTGATTATATTTCAGGTGTATAGATAGTTATTTATCATTATTTGTTCTTCCAAAAGAGCTGCGCCTTTATATTCACCTTATCTTTTGAAATATATATAGGCAGACTAATATACGACTACAGTGCTGTAATAAAGTATGACTGCAATTTATTCCCTCTCATACTGTGAAAGTGCTCATCCATGAAGTGTCATTCGAGTTTGGTATATCAACTAAAGGCTAACAAATAGAAGCAGAAGTGCATTTCGACCCATCTTACTGTCTCACAGCGTATCATTTCTGGACTCTAGGCCAATTGATATTTCTCAGGAGATCTCATAGAAATGAAAGTTGTGCGGCAGTAAAGCCCTTTTCTTCAATCCAGGGGCTGAAAAATAAATCCTCAGCTCTACAAGCCAGTGGACTGGAAAAGAACTAAATAGTTTTTTTTTTTCTTGCCCTTTTTGTATGGAACATTGGGAAAGCAATGTATATTTATATATTTTTTAAATCTGTCTTACTTGAGCACAAACATTGCCTCAGCAGAAAATGCGCACGCAGGAACCACATCATCAGATCATATCGAATTACGTTTCTTTTCTCCATTTTCCACTCACGCATTATTTTCACCCAAAGGTGAAAACTTTAATCAATTTATGCTGAATCAATGTAATGTAGCTGAAATGAGAATGGAAAGCAAGGGCATTATTGCACACTGTACAAATGAATAACTTGCTGATGAACTGTCAAAGGGTCTCTACGTCGTGTGCACATTTCAATTAAAGCAACTTATTTTCACCGGCAAATGTTTATGGGGGGAAAGAAACTGTTCCACTGAAAATATAACGAATTAATGTTTTTAAATACAACAACAAGACGGCACGGTGGATGACTGGTTAGCACGTCCGCCTCACAGTGGCAGAGGTGCAGGGTTCGATTCCGGCTCCGGCCTTCCTGTGTGGAGGCACCGCTTGGGATAGGCGCCGGCATGCCTGCAACCCTCGTGAGAAAATGGATGGCTGGATGGATATTCAACAATATTTGGCATGCAACTATACACAGCACATTGTATTTGCTGAGCTGAACAATTAACATTCTGGGAATGAGATTCTAATGTAATTGGTTTCGTTTGCTCTTGATACAGTAAAAGCCGCTTCCCACAACCGCACAATGATCGTTGCCGGTCAGCCAGATGAAAGTGGGGGGTGGGGGGTGGGGGCTGGGGGTTCTGGAAGGGGCAAAGTGGATGGATGGCTCAAGGTGTGACCACAAAAGAGTCGGATTGCGCGGGCCTTTTTCTGTCTCATCAGGCCTGTCTGTGGCCCCCGGATCCAATATTCATTTAGCTTGATGTATTCCTGGACTTGAAACTTTAATGTGATTTGTGGGACAATCCAGATGGCAAGTTCACGGATCAACGCACTGGAGGAGCCGGGTGCCAGCGGGGCCCGCTGCACAATAACACAGAGTGCCTACAATTCTCCTTCCTCCGACCATACTTCACAAAGCGCCGAGCATCGCGTCAACATCCGTCACTTCAGCCGCTGTCCGCTCTTTTCTGCCCGCCGACTTTGTCTCTCCTCTTTGCACCTCTGTCCGACTTCATTACGCTCACTTTTGCTCCCGCCACGCACCTCTGGTACACTCCATCACTCACTCCTGTTCCTTCACCTCTCGCACTCTCCCCAACCGCACTAAATCACTGCGCATCGACTCAGGTACTGGAAACGTGATGTCTTGTCCTCGCCTCCCGCTATGAGAATCCCTCGGCAGCCCTTTGTTGCTGCGGCATCAGGCTTACACGTTTGTCACCATCGCAATCGCCTTTATCGTCACTGTACCGTCAAAGGAAAAACAAAACAATAATATCCTTGTAAAAAGAATACCCGCAATCACTTAGACAGAAATTACTTGCAATGAGGACAAGAGCTATAAAAGAAAATGGGGAAAGTTTTTGTGTTCCTTCTAGGAAAGTGCAATGTTAATGCTTTCATTGCAAAGCGTTTTCAAAATGAGAACCGCTCAAGTCCGAGCCAATTGAGCGCATTCTGATTGACCTTTGAAACGACCAGATGAAAAAAATTATTATTTTTTTTTTTTTGCCTATGCCATTAAATGTATGTGTAGCTTTTCCAGGATTTGTGGGGGCTCGATTGTTTAGTCGTCGCCTTGTGCAGCTTTAATTTGTATTATTTCCAACAGGAAACTTTTGACCTTCGAGCCGCCGCTGTAAATAGCATTGAAGTCGATGAAGAGGCTTAATTCTATCCACTGAATGATGACAATGGCCATGAACTCCACGGTCACTTTTCCTTTTCTATCACGTCTCCTTGTGGCGTGCACTCTTCTGATGAAAGATGGGCGGGGGGGCGGCGCGCTGGGCACATCTTGTAACTGCAGTAAGCGGTCGCCCGCTTATTGCAATGCCACGCTTCGCCTCATAAATCAGCGTTTCATTACAGATTAATTGACCATTGTACGGCCCGCAATTTTGCAAAATAATCATGACTTAATCCGCTGACGCAATCGAGTGCATTTACTTGAATGGGAAGGTTAGGATAGGAAGGGGGGGCGGAGAGTGGAGTGGGGGACATTAAAAGAAGATTGGAGGTTATCGTGATCAAACCCCCAAGACCTCCACTGTGGTTTACTGCTTCTTGTATTTCTCGAGGTTGGAGAATGCACACGCCGGTGTGTCTGTGAAGGCTTGAACCGGAGGGGGCATATCATCGGGAGATTTGCTGTGTCGGCCCATTTTTGCACACATCCGTGCAGCCAAAGCCGCTATTTATCCACTTGTCATTTCTATTCCGTGAGACTCTCGACGAGTGCCATCGGAGCTCCGAATAGCACTTTTGGAAAACTTTCACCGTCTCAGCATTTAAGCATGCAAACGGTTCAGAAAGTATGCCCAGCAGATTAACGCAGATGATCATAAATGCTCTCAGCAAGCACCTTGTGTTGTCAAATGGGAACGTTATCGACCCTCACAATCTCAATTTGAGAGAGTAAGAACTGGACCGGCACTGCAATCTGCTGTATAGATTTTGTTGACTCTTTTTTTTTTTTTTTTTTTTGGGGGGGGGGTATTTTTTTTTTTTTATTACTTTGAACCTTGTTTGTTCGACTTCATTGATTTTTCATTCTTCCTTGGACTTGTTTGCCTTTTTGTTAAAAAAAAAAAAAAAAACTATATAGTCGTTGACACGGTGGTATTTGTGTTTGGTAAAACACAAGCACCGCATGCCGGGCTGAACACTAAATGGGCCGATTTCAGCAAGACAAGAAACAGTGTGTGCAGGAGGTCTATAATTGTTGATCCTTGGCCTATTTTGAGGAAAGCAACTGATCATAACTCCGTTAACAATGTGGGTATTGTTGGGGGAACATCACCCTGTGGTATGTGGAACAGGAATACGGGATATGAACTCCATCCAACGTGCAGAAAACTCCTGATTACCCCTTTCCCACCCTTATAAACGCACAGGCACGCACAACGGAGGCACTCTCCAACATAGTTGGGAGTTAGCCGAAATTGCTTGTTAAAGCAATTGTGAGATGGAGGAGGGCAGGCCTGTCTGAGGTGCGGGATGAGCTCTCTGCGCAGCCGAGACGCGAGTCACACAGGCGCGCAGTAAACGTGAAATAGTGAGGGCGCCTCTCGTCCTTATTCTCCGCGCGCCATCTCAGCTGGCAATAGAAGTCGCTGTCATTTTTCTCTCAAGCAACACAACAACATCAGCGCGCCATAAAAAGGCATATTAAGACCGCATTACAAGGACAAAGTCGTTGTGCTAGGCATTACCGAAAAATAAATGGACAATTTAACAAAATTAAGATTGGAATTATGAAAAAAAAAAAATTAAGGGAAACAATGGCATAAATTGAGTCATTACTGGAGCAAGTGCCGGTATTAGAATTCTGTCCGTATTTAATGTGAGTAACTATGATACTACAAATATGATGAAGTCGCCACTGGAAAAGCAATGTTATGCTGCAACAAAATAAACCTTGACTGAAGGGGGAAGAAGGAAAAAAAATGGTGTGATAACAAAAAAGAAAGAATGATTCCGTAGCATAAGAAAAAAGAAGACATTTCCTTCCCGTGTGCAGTTTGCATGTTGCCTGCGTGGGTTTTCTCCGGGTACTCGGCTTTCCTCCCACATTCCAAAAACATGCACAGCAGGCTAGTGGAACACTCG